CCTACAATTCAAAACCGAACCGAACCGTTGCAAATCGGTTCGGTACGGTTCGGTTCGGTTTGTTCGGTTCTAACTTCATCAATCTTGTTATCAAACTCAGTAAAAGAACTAAAAAGAATACTTGCGAGCCTAACTCCACAAACGCAACGATCTAACTATCAATATTTGAAAGGGCTAAGAGGGTTACTTACAGCATCCTCGAGTTTAGCTTTCGAAATGCTACCTGCATAGTACCAACAACAAAATAGAGCCAGGGCATCGAAGCAGAAGAAAGAAATGAATAAAAGGGTAAAATCAAAAATTAAGTATTTTATATTAAAAAAAGAAGAAGAACCTTTTTTGAGGCAGTGGCGGTCTCCTCAACAGCAACACTAGATGCAGCAACCTACGTGAATCAAAACGCCACAAATCAGCACACAATCTACTGTAACATCGCGATTAAATCGAGAACGGAGAGCAGATTCAGGAGAAATTTTACCGTTCCGATATTGAGGAATCCATCGACCGTCTTGTTGAGAAAGGGGTTCCCCATCAGGAGAAATTTTACCGTTCCGATATTGAGGAATCCATCGACCGTCTTGTTGAGAAAGGGGTTCCCCAAGTCGATGGTGACGTCGACCTTGCGCGAGTTGACGAGGCCAGAGAATCCGCTGCTGGGCACCTCCGCCGTCTAAATTGGGGATCTGATGATGAAAAGAACATGACAGAAGTAAATCAACAAGAAGAATGGATCCTGATGCAGATCAAGTATTCACTCCCTCAAGAAAAGCCCTTTCAACGATCGATTGAAAAATCTCTTCACCGTTCGCCGCCTCAACTCCTTAGCCTCAATCTTTACCGATCCCATCGCCTTCATCGCCGACGTAAACAAACAGTTTCCGTCGGGATGGTTGCTTGAGGGCTTTACCGATCCCATCGCCTTCATCGCCGACGTAAACAAACAGTTTCCGTCGGGATGGTTGCTTGAGGGGGGGGAGGGGAGAAGGGGAGGGGAGGTGAGGGGTGGAGAGGAGATGGATTGTCGGCTGGAGAGTTAGGGTTTAGGTGTCTGAGTCTCTGAGAGAATAAGGGAATTTATACAGTCGGGTAATGGGTATGGGTTACGGGTTGCAGAGCTGCGGAGGAATTGTAAAAATGTTCGGTCGGGTCGGTTAATACGGGTTGAAGTTGTCTGAACCCGACCCGAACCGTTCACACTTCAAAACCGTCCCAGCAGCAGTTCGGTTGGTCGGTTCGGTCGGTTTCAACCGAATTTTGCTCACCCCTAATCAGCTTCCTCTTCCTTGGATTCTTCAACTGAGAAGGGTTTGCTGCTTCCGTCGGGACCATCACTGTTAACATCTTTATCCCCTAAATCAATTTAATCCCTATGGCATGGGTGGGTCCTTCATCTCTTTCAGTAACAGTCATGGTCAACGTATTTAACCCCATTGAACGATGATAACCTATCATATTGAGAATATCTTCATCTTTTGAAAGCTCAAACGAGACATTGGGAAACTTATCGATAGAGTAACTTATCAACAAACTTTCGAACCGTACTCTAAAATTCTCTGCGGCTTTCATCTTCAATTCGGCTAAACTTGTTGCTGAATTGACTTTAATAAGGGTTGCGTTACTGTTAAATGAAATCACACACATTAAAGAATCTTTCCATTTTGGTTGTTGAAGAAGTTAAGAGGAAAAAGTTCAGAATATAAATGATTGTTGAAGGTTGTTGAAGATTTTAGCAGTAGATCAAAAGAGAGAAGAGTATATATGAGGAATGCAATATTTTGGAGGGAACCGTGTACATTTTTCCCTCCATTTTTCCCCTTCCCTGCATAAAACCCCCCAGCTCACTGATTTGACACCGCTACTTCATGATGGGTTGCTTGGCTGGCGAATAAGACAAAACCCAAGTTCTTCAATGCATAGCCGATTTCAGCGCCCACCCCCAAATCGAAAATGAGAGAAGAAAGGGCAAAATGAGTAATGCTGGAAAAATACACTATAAAGTAGAGAAACACTGTTGGGTTTGGGGTGAGAAAGCATGAGTACTTGGGTCAAGGTGCCCCCAAGTGTTTGACTCTAGTTGAGGGGTGGGGATGCATAGCCGAATTTTATTTGGTTCCCTCAAGCAATTTTCCCTTGAAAAAATTATGAGGTCAGAGGATACAAATGTTCACAAAATTGTAAGTAATTCCCATGTAACAAAAAAACTATGAATTCTGAGGACTGTAATTAATCAGAAATTATGTTTTCTTTTCAAACACAAACTACATGCTTTAGTTTAAGGCCCTATGTGGGAATCCATCGAGCAAAACTGTGTTTCCTATTATTTTGGAGTTTGTGAAAAATCTCCTATGAAAGCTGTTACAAAAGCAAAATAGACTCAACATAAAAGAGTTACTATTGTGTTAAAATTAAATGACGTTCCAAAGACATAAGTCGAAACTAATATGATATTGTAGATGTTCACAGTACAAATTCACCTGCAGATGCATGAATCACGAGTGTAGTTAAACTAAAAATGGGTTTGGCCACCACAATCAAAAAGTAAATTAAAATCACAATAAAATAAAAAGAACAAAATTCTCAATAAAATAAAAAAATTGTACCTTTGAGATGAGACAAGCACTCCGTATGCATAATGAAATCATCAAAAAATTAGAAAAATCGGAATATTGTTCAAATAACATAAACGATCATGAATGGCGGTCACATTGCGAGTGTTAGCTCTGATCTAGGGTTTTAGCCGCGAAGATCACAATCTAAACCCTAGATCAGATCTAGGTTTTGACAGAAATGGGCGAGAGAAAAGAAAGGGGGAGACCTAAACCCTAGATCTAATCTAGGGTTTAGACGTGTATTTGGGCTTTCAAATCCATCTCTTCAAAGTAATTTGATTTGAAATCTTAGCTCAACTTAGAATCCAAACTAAAGATTTGGATTTGAAATACCCTGGATTTTAAACCCTGGATTTTTGCACAAATTTACGAGAATTAATATCCCTAAATGGAAAATAGCTTACAATGTGTTTGGTTGAGGGGTAGACGATGATAATGGATTGCTCAACTTCATTTGAGAGTCTTTTTAAGGAAGATATGGAGTGTATGAAAGTAAAAATTTTCATAAAAAAGTTATGATTTTGTTCCCTTTCAAATTGGGTATAGAAGAGAGTAAAAAAATCTACTTAAAATATTTAATATTTGGCGCTCTATTGCTATATATAAACAACTCGGATTTTATTATGAAACTATTTTTTACCTTTCCTTTCCTTAATTAGAACTTTCAAGCATGATGAACTTGTGTTTGGGAGGTTACTAGAGAAAGAAAGGAAAAGTAAAATAGGAGAATAAAAAATTGAGAATGTGAGGGCAAATATAATATCTTATTTAGGAGTTTAGTAAGGAGAATAGAGGGGAACATAGAATTGGAGGACCTCATGCTAATTTTAATAAAGTAAGGGAGTAATTTAAAAATAAAAGATTGAAAAGGGCTTATAGTAAAAAACATTGAACCCGGGCGCGAGGTGCTGTGGCCTGCAGCGAATGCGCCCTGCACCAGAGGCGGGGCGCTGCAGGCTGAGCCTAGCGCGCTCGTTGGGCGCACCGCTTTAAGGCGTCTGGTTTTGGGCCTGTAGTGAGCTTGGGTTTCAGGTCTTTTTTTTCAATAAACCCTTATGTTTTAGGGTTCTCTCCTCAAACTCTCACAGTGGCTACTCCTCTCCTCAATCTCTCACTGTCTCACTCCTTGATCCAAACTCGCCGAGCGATGCCACCAACTCTGTAGACTCCTCCGCCACCGCCGACCAATATTCACGTTATTTTTTTACAGTTTTTCTCTTTTCTTGTTTTCTTCTTTTTCCTTTTTGAAAATAATTTGTTTTTTGAGTACATATTTATTTTATATTGTTGTTGTTTAATCATTATCTATTTTTGCACTGATTATATGTGATCTTTTTTTTGTAAAGATGATGATGCGTTGTTGCATTTGTGTTTAAGTTTATAGGGGTTTCACAAATTTTCTATTAAATATGTTAGGGTGTGTTTGGATACTATGGTGATTTTTTTGTAGTGTTTTTTAGAAAAACACCATGCCAATGTGTTTCTTTTTCAAAAGTGTTTTGAAAACACCATTGTTAGTTACTATTATATAGCGGCGGTGACGGGCGGGTGGTCGGCGGCCGGCCGACGGGCGGGCGGGCGCGAGGCGCGACGGTCAGGCAATGGCTGGCGCGACCGGTGTGCGGTCTGCGGCGAGCGGGCTACGGCGGCGACCGGCTAACGCGGCCGATGCGGCGGCGGTGCGGTCACGGGGCGCGAGCTGGCTGACGGGTGACGCGGTCGCGCGGGGTCGGTGGGCGGCTCGCGGGCGCGCGGCCGCCAGCGAGGGGGCGCGCGGCGCCGCCGAGGAGCTGGCGGCGCCGCCAGCGAGGGTGCGCGCAGCGGGAGGCCAGCTGGCGGCGAGAGTGCGCGCGGCGGGCGAGATGTGGCGTGTGACTGGGGCGGGCTACGTCGCCGGCGACGCGTCGGGCGCGGAAGGTGGCGCAGGCGAGGCGACGGGCCGCACGGGCTATCGCGAGCGGCATGGCGGCGGCGGGCGGCTGGTCGCGCCACCGTCGGTGCGACGTCACCTGGGCATGGCGGGTGGTAGCCTACGCCGGTGACAACGACGGGCTGGCGACGACAGGTGGCGGCGCGGCCACCCCCCCGCCGGCACCGGCAGCGGCGGGCGGGCGGCGGGGGTTTGCGAGGTCGGGTGGCGGCGGAAGAGCCGCGCGACGGCGGGCAAGCGAGCGGCGGCGGCTTAGATGAAAAAAACGGAATCTCAAAACACTTTTTTGGTGTTTTGAGAAAAGTGTTTAATTTTTGGATTTTGTAAATGTTCAAGTCAAAAAATGCCCCGGTTACCAAACGCGTTTCATTTTTTTTTTTGAAAAAAAATACGGAAACAAAAATATCTGTGTAGTTAATTTTTTCTGCTGTTCACAGTTCATAGAACTTCACACTTCACATTTCAGTGAGGCGTGCGCCTTGCGCCTCGATAACACTGGCTGAACCGGTTACGAGCAAATCCTACACCCGACCCCTGCGCAGTTCATCGTTCTCTTCGTATATTGCTGCTACAATCTTAACTAGGGTTAGGGTTTTCGATTTCTCTGCTTCAATGGAGATATTGGGATCAGAAGGCGAGCTCTCCTCAGGCTACAAGCTCGTTCCTTGGTCGAGTTGGGACCAGTGGCACTTCGTCAGAGAATCCCTATTCTCCTCTTCGCCCGATTCAGTGGCCAAAGCTCTTCAAAGGGTAACGATCCTTGTCTCTTTAGGCACAATCTCTAAACTAAACCTTGTTTAGAAAAAAATTGGTCCCTTTTTGTTTCAGATTAGCGCCTGGAGGAGTAGAGGTTGCCTCCCCGTTCCCATCGATGTGACCGCTGCAATTGTGGAAATTCAACAGAAAGATCCCTTCTTCAGGTAAAAGTCGATAACTGGTAATTAAAATTTGTATATATGATATAAAAGTGAGGTATTTAGTTGAAAAAATAGGAAATTTAGATCGAGTAACGCGCTTTATTTTTAGCATTGTTTGATCCTGTTTAGCTGTAGAATGGACTTTTAAATTTGTTATTCTATAAACCATATTTTGATTGTTATGTTGTGTTTAATTGTGCAGAGAAGGGATTTCTAGTGATGCTCTGAACTCGGAGGAGTTGTTAGCGATGCTCTACTCTATGGCGATTATGAGGTGTTTTTCAATTTACACTGTAGAAATTTATAAATTAAAATTTATTTTTATAGTGAACTGATGATATTTTTTTACATGGATTTGGTTATTGTAGTATTTGTGCGAAAATGGAAGAAGAGAAAAGTATGATGAGTTTTTGAGGGGGCACCGGTAATGGGATTTTTTTTCTGTGTTGTGTTTTCTCAAAGAGGAGACTACTCTTATGTATAGAGGCTACACCCCATCATCTCCACCCCCTCAAAGACTGCCTAAATATCTGAGAGAGAGATTTTTTCAAACAATCCACTGCCCGTTATCCTCTTAACAAAGTATCCTCTCATTGAGCAATTAGTGGTTGAATTGGTCACTAATTTGAATGGGCCAAATAACATCTCCCACTTGACCAATGAAACTAAGTGATATGTCTCACACTATCCGTGAGATCAGATGTTTCTTCCCACCATTACTCACACTATTCATAGAGAGTAACTCTTATTTCATAATTCATGAAATTTTATGTAGACTTATTTATGCTAAAGTTCCACCAAACTTACATGTTTGATAAAGGATTCCGTTGGTATTCCTTTTGTCAAAGGATCAGTAATCATATCTGTAGTAGTGATATAAGTTACTTTAACTTCTCCATTTCTACAATATCTCGAATATAGTGATATTGGATCTTAATGTATTTTTCTTTGGAGGTATTCGCGCCACTATTGATCAAGCTAATCGCTACTTGATTATCACAATAAATATCAATAGGTCCTTCTAGCAAATTGAGATCTAAATCAATCAAAAACCGTCTTATCTAGACAATATGTGTAGTTGCCATATTACAAGCTCTATATTCAACTTCTTGTGTGTATCTAGCAACACACCCTTGTTTCTTGTGTGTATCTAGCAACACACCCTTGTATTTAGCAACACACCCTTCCGGTGGGTTCAATAGGGGTCGCCGCTAGAATTTAATGGAAGTAGGTTCATGTAAGAAGAAGCTACTTTTGGAAGTGAGAAGAAACTTTTGTGCTCTTTAGGGAAAAACATTTAAAAAAGGGTAATGGTAGGGGCAGACTCACGTGATGGTTGTTGAGAGAATTACACAACCACACAAATAAAAAAAACTTTTGGCTAGTGGAATTCACGTGTGAGGTTTGGGAGTAGCTCAAAGCTTTTTCCTTTTCTTGGGAAGAGGGTAGGTGAGAGAGGGAAAGCTGTGGGTACAGAAACATTTATGGCCATAAAGAAGGGTACATATAACTCTTTAGTTTAGAAGAGAAAGGTAGCTACTGGTTTTATGGAGATAGATATAAACCATTGGACAACCAGCTCTGACACCAGTGTGCGAAAACGGAAGAGAAAAGTGTGATGGGTTTTTGAGGGGGCTCCGCTAATGATATTGAGGTTTTTTCTTTTCTGTGTTGTGTTTTCTCGAAGAGAAGACTACTCTATATATAGAGGCTACACTCCATCATCTTCACCCCCTCAAAGACTGCCTCAATATCTGAGAGAGAGATTCTCTCAAACAACCCACTACCCTTTATCCTCTCAACAAATTATCCTCTTGTTGATCAATTAGTGCCTGAATTGGTCAGTTATTTGAATGGGTCAGATAATAGTATTTAGGAAGATCGACACTACTTGGAGATTATTTTTTGATTTAGTCATTATAAGGTTGATTTTGTGTTATTCTCTCTCTTTTGGATATGTCTTGGTTATTGGATTTTGGTTTGCACGTGGCTAAACTGCAAAATAAATCATTTATCTTGTACATGGCATATGTCTTGAGTCTTGACTGTTGATGGTAGTATACCTAAGCTTATTTTGGTTTCTCATCTTAGTTGAACAGGCATCAAGATGCTTGGGGTAGCTGTACAAATTGAGTAGTTTTCTTTTTTTTCTTCAACTTCTTTCTTTATAATGAAAGGTCCTTTTTTATAAATTAGAGCGTTAGGCATGTGTGATGCTAGAATATACTGCCTAAATTATATAAGAATGACACATATGTATAAGTTTTACTGTTCTCTTCGAAGAGATCCTACTTGGAACTTCAGGGACCTTTATAACTAAGTGTCTGCTTAATTGTCTAGATAAGTAATTTGGACATATTGAAACTTAAGCTACCAAACCATATAATGTTCCTGCTCAGTCTTCTCTAAGAGTATAACGAATCAACTGCCTTACAAAATGCTTAAAGAACAGTTTTTATTCTTGTGCTGTCCAAGAAGCGAGCATCTTGTTTGCTCAAATAACCATTTAATTGCTATTTTTTCCCCCTCATGTGATGCATCAGTCTATTATTTGTTGACCACTTACTTTCCAGGCTTGTGAATTGTTTTGTTGAGCCTGCACACAAGAAAACAGGGCGGTCAATATCCGAGTTGGCTGATGTAGTTGGTATCCCGCGGATGTTGGTGGATATTCGTCATGGTTGTTTACCTTTAACCTTTTTTAGTTCAATTACAATTTTACGGTTGCACTTGCGTTATTTGTGAAAAAGAAATCTCATGCCATGTCTGGTTTCTTGCCTATGTTATAGAGAGTTCTCACCGGAATCTTCCTTCACTTCGTTTGGTCCGCATGGCTAGCACGAAG